GCCTACAAACTGGAAGAAAATATTTGCAAGTGATGTGACTAAAAAGTGATTAATTTACGAAATGTACAAACAGCTCATGTGGTTCAATACCAAAAAGCAACCAAGTCAATCTTAGGAAGATCTAAATAGATATTTCTCGGTCCTGGAAGGACTCCAAATGGGTCGCCGCCACAGCTGCTCCCCACGGAGGGAGCATAGGCGGTCCTGGTCCACATCCTGGGAAAGAGAACGCAGGTGCCAAGAAAGGTCCCAGTCCAGGGAGAGAGATCGAAGAAGAAGCCACTCTCGCTCCCCGCACAGAAGGCGTTCCAGGTCCCCAAGACGACATAGATCCACATCTTCTTCCCCTTCTCGGCTGAAAGAAAAAAGAGATGAGGAGGAGAAAGAAACCAAACAAAGAGCAAAGAATGTGAGCTGACTGAATAAGACTTGGAGGGCAAAACAGAGGAAGAAATAGAAATGATAAAGTTAATGGGGTTTGCCTCCTTTGACGTCACAAAAGGGAAAAAGGTAGATGGCTCTGTAAATGTCTATGCCATAAATGAGTCTCAGAAGAGGAAGTATAGGCAATACATGAATGGAAAAGGTGGATTCAACAGACCTTTGGATTTCATTGCTCGAGAACCGAAGGGTTGAAGAATGATGTTTTTTCCCTCATCTTGATCAGAATAGTGGATTTTTGTATTTAATATGCATCAAAAACAGGATCACAGTTCTTCCTCCTTGTAAAGTAAGAAAATTCTATTTATGATGTGTGTAGTTCACTTACCCTGCCTCAAAAAAAAAAAAGAAGTTAAGTATTACATTTTTTTCCTTTGGGAAATATCATTTGGGACAGTCATCAACCCCATTTTTTTGTCCTTATTCCTATGGAAACTATATTTTTTTTTCTTGGATGCTCCTTATGACTTTTTAAAACACATAAAAGTAACTTGGAAGTAAGTTTCTCAAATAAAGCAATAATTTCTAAAAACAAAAAAAACATCCAAACAAAAAATAGATATTTCTCTAAAGAAGACATACAAATGGCCAACAGATACATGAAAAAAGAAAAAGCCTCAACATATCTAATTATTAGACCAACACAAATAAAAACTATAGTGAGGTATTACCTCACTCAGTCAAAATGGCCATCATCAAAAAGTTTACAAATAATAAAGGCTGGGATGCAGAGGGGATATGGAGGAAAATATACTCTTCTCTACTGTTAGTGGGAATGTAAATTGGTGCAACCACTGTAGAAAACAGTAAGGAGCCTCTTTGGACAACTAAAAACAAAACTACCATATGATCCAGCAATTCCATTCCTAGGTATATATCCAAAAAAGATGAAAACTCTAATTTGAAAAGATACATGTATTGCAATGTTCATAGCAGCACTATTCACAACAGTCAAGATATGGAAGCTACCTAAATATCCATTGACAGAGGAATGGATAAAGAAGATGTGCTTTATCTGTACATAGTGGAATATTATTCAGCCATAAAAAAGAATGAAATAATGCCATGTGCAGCAACATGGATGGACCTAGAGATTATCATACTAAATGAAGTAAGCCAGACAGATGAAGGCAGGAGGAGAAGGGGACGACAGAAAACGAGATGGTTGGATGGCATCACCACATCAATGGACACGAGTTTGAGCAAGCTCCAGGAGATGGTGAAGGACAGGGAAGCCTGGTGTGCTACAGTCCATGGGGTCACAAAGAGTCAGACACAACTGAGTGACTGAACAACAACAAAACTAGAGAAGGACAAATATCATATGATTTTTGCTTATATGTGGAATCTATTTTTTAAAAAGATACGAACGAACTTATTTACAAAACAAAGACTCACATAGAAAACAAACTTATGTTTACCAAAGGGAAAAGGAGAGGAGAGAATCAATTAGGAGGTTGGGACTAACATATAAATACTACTACACTCAAAACAGATAATCAATAAATGCCTACTGCAGCACAAGGAACTATACTCAATGTTTCGTAATAATCTATAAAGGAAAAATGTGTGTGTGTGTATAACTGAATCACTGTGCTGTATACCAAAACTAACACTGAATTGCAAATCAATTATACTTCAGTAAAAAAAAAAATTAAAACATTTGTGCAGTATGAGGTGCACCGGCGCTATGGTAGCTTGTATATAAAGACTGAGAACAGAGTGAACAACATGAATTCCCTGTGGCTTACTGATGTTGCTCTCAGAGTTATTTATTGATTAATTTTATGGTAGGGCTAGAATGAATACCTTTTAACAATTGTGTGCTATTAAAACAATGAAGAATGGAATGACTCCGTTTTGAAGGATATTTTCTCTATATGGTAAAAGTATATGAAGTAAAGTTGATTAAATGAAGATCACTTGACTCAGAATACTTCATCGTATTTTGTTCACATTGTACCACTAAACATATTATCACTAAACTATTAACTGCACAATGTTATGTAACAGTATACTTTTTGTTGAATTCATAGAAATTCTTCCACTTATTTAACCACTATTTTTTAATGGCATTCCAGGTTTAACATTCTGTTGAGTTTTACAAATTTAACTCTTGAATGGCAAAATTTAGTAAGTAGAAGGTTACATTTCATTTATATTACAAGTGGTGCAGGGGTTCAACATTTTGAGTAAAAATACTTTCACATACTACCTCTCTTTCTCTCTCTCTCTCTCTCTCTTTTTTTTAAACAAAGTTTTAACATCAGAACTGTTCTCTTAGGGGAAGAAATACTTCAGGGCTTGACTTTTTGAACAACTTTTAACTGTAAAAATATAGATCTGTCTTGTATGTATTCATGAAAATGGAAATCAAGGCTGCTAGTGCTTTTTATTTTAATTTTCCCGCTAAAAGTATATGTCAGTGGTCTTTTCAACTGGATCTCTCATTTAAATTATTGGTGAAATAACTGCTGATTACTAGACATATTGTAAAACCAATAGATCTTGGTTATACAGTAAAATGTCGATTCATTGGTAGCCTGAATTGTTTCAAGTGTACCTTATTAACAAAAATATCAGTGGATTCACCTTAAAATTTTATAGTACTAAATGTCAAGCTAACTGTGAATTTTGTTCTGTATCTTAAGTAAGTTTATGATAATGTCCTCATGAGCTATCAACAAAATATATGTACTTTTGTGAACTATGAATTTTCTAATTAAATTTTACATGCAACATGAAAAAAAAAAAAACATTTGTGCATCAAAGGACACCATCAAGAGAGTAAAACACCCTACAGAATAGGAGAAAATATTTTAAACTCATATCTGATAAGGGTCTATTATCCAAAATATATAAAGAACTCATAACAACAAAAAGACAAAAACACTCCTCAATCTCTGGCTTTGGAAGAGTTGTCATTCTGTCTGGTTTCAGACATACCCCACTATCCTGCTTTAGAATTCTTTTCACATATGAAATAAGTAAAATTTGTTTCTGTGCCCTTTATTGCTCCCCTTCTCTAAGATTTTGGCAGAGGCTCTGTCTTCTCTCCTCTTGTAAGCTAATCTCTCATTTGTCCTGTGGGAAAATAGGATAGAATAGGATGGGGGAAATCCTCCATATTTTTTTTTTCTGTTGGAACAGTGACAGTTCTCAGAACCAAAGCAATCACGTTCTCATAGCTGCATGTTAGGTATCATTGTTTAGGCTAGCTCTTGGAGAAATATAGCTGTAGGAAGGCTGCAGGTCAACCACCTCTGTGGAATCTGCCCTGGTGGTTATAAGCACTCATCCTGAGTCACAACCAGCCTATTCTGGGAATTTCTCCAGGATCTTAGAAAATGCTCAGAGGGTAGCTACAGGCTTATACTCCTTTGGTTTTGTAAGAGGTTTCATAAGCCTCTAACTGATATTGCTGTCTAAGGATGTTTTTACAAAACTCTAAAAAGATCCACATCTTTAAAAAAATAAAAAGTCTTGCCTTTAATTGTTCAAGAATGATCCTGAGACAAATCTGCAAGTAGTGTAGCTAAGACAGTGCTAGGGAGAAGATCTGTTTTAATTCTGACTCTGCCATTTTTCAGCAAAGTGGAATGGTTCCTGAAATTTTTGATCCTCCATTTCCTCATGGACAAAATTGGTTTACTGCTATTAACTAACCACACAGTAGTGGGAGGTTAAAAGGATCTTTCTAGGATGTGAACATATAATATTCCTTGTCATTGTAGTACTTATGATTTGAGTGCTGCCACCTCATATTTGCACACCTTTGTCTATTATGGTGCTTCCATCCTCTCGACCAATATTGAAATTTCTACTTGTAAATCAGTGTTCCAAACCTATACTTTGTAGACGTTGGTGCACTTTAAATGGTCTGTAGGCCTCTTGACATTGCATGCAAAAGTATATTTGTATATGTGAGTAGGATTTTCTGGTGAAAAGGTTTCATAAATTTCATCAGGCTCCCAAAGAGATTCCAGTATCTAAAGGGTTTCAGATTTGGAATTTGAGAGTTAAACCTTTGATTTAACCACAGAAGTACATGTAGTGAGCCTAAGGTTCTAGCAAATGTAACAGTGCTGTCTGATTGTGAGATACAGACTATTTGAAATTGAAACTGTGAGGGAAATTCTGTGATGTGCTCACTGGCATAAGAGTATCTGATTGCTTGCAAGCTGAAGGGCAAGGCAGAGACTCAGTCTGTGATGTTTTATTGTCAACTGCCTGATCCTGAGCAAGACCCTTCCCCTCCCTGAACTTCAGTGACTGCATCTGTAAAATGAGGGGTTGAATGTCCCTCAACAACTCTAGAATAATATAATTCTCTTAGGAAGCAGGATGAAAGCAGATCCAGGTTCCCGCTGTAAATTTAAAAAGAATTAGGGAAAAAGGGGGCTTTGTGCCCAAGGTTTCTAGATTCTAGGACTTCATCCCTGATAATGATCTGACAGTGAGTCTGCTGCCTGGATAGTTTCCAGCCAAAGGAAATAGGCGGACAGCTCGGAGAAACTGATAAACCAGACATTGGACTGCGCCCCGTTCCAAGGGTCAGGATGGAACTGTCAGGGCTACTTCTCAGCAGAGCAGGTTTGTGCTGCCCAGACTGATGTCACACATCTCCAGGGAATCAGTGCCTGAGCCAGAAGACATTCTGGCGCATGCGTCTTCAGACTTGGCACCGTAGATCGCTGGCTGGGGAGCACCGACACCTTCCTGCAAACTCTTCAGTGCTCAGTAAGTCTGAGGGACGCAGCAGCAGCAGGGCCTGGGTGGGAGAAAGCAGGGCTCCTGCTCTTGTACTTCATCTTCTGCCTGGAATGCTGGCACCCAACTCCCAGGTGGCGGGAAAGGGAAGCAGAATCTTCTGAGAAATGTGCAGTCATGGGCATCAGAGTCAGCTGTATCTTCCAAGAGTAATAATATGTTACCTAGCTTGTTTCATGATTTACCTTTGCAAAAAATATTCATGGATTATTACCATTTGTAATGAGTTTCAAGTTAGCTTTAAGTATACATTACTAACCATTTTCACTTAGCAAGAAATAAACTTTAGGGGAAAAGGACATTGGCAAATAAGTTCTATTTGGAGAAAATGTAGGGATACATCTTAACATTGCCCATTACCCGCACTAAGGTAGGATATCAAGGTGGATAACTTTTGGATGCCAAGGACAATTGAAAAGGAGTAGTGTGTTTGCCACAACCTTTCTGAAAGGGAGTGTGAGAAAAGAAATTGAAAGGCCTCTTGACAAGTGGAAAAAGGAAAACATCTCCTCGACAGTATTGTCATACGTGCTACACATAGACTAGAAGTACAGAACACCTTTATCCTCTACTTCTGAGAGCCTACACATTTTTTTTAAAGATAACAAAATTTAATATTTGTATGGTCTCATGAAATATCAAGGAATTAGGATAAATTTAGAGTAAAAAGCAAAATGTCCCATGTACCTCCTACCTGTCCTTCTGAGTAACAACCACCAACAACCTCTTGACAATCTTTCTTGTCTTGTCTCTTGTCTTTACAATATATGCCTGTATGTACATACACTCCATTTTTCACTATTTTTTGAGAGAATTGTATCTCCGTATATGTAGGTCTTTTTCCATATTTCTTGAGAGCTGTATGTCATTCTATAAATATATTAATGGATTGTTAGGTTGTTACCCTACTATGATCATTACAATCATATCTGCCTAAATAGGCCACTTTTTTGTACATGTGCAAGTCCATTACTCTTAAAAAGGAATAGGAAATCATGTAAATTTAAAACAGATACTCATTATAAGCTTTCTCTTTATAAAGGAAGAATTCTAAATTATTCCACTCAACATATGACTTTTGATTTAACATAGAACATTCACTATTTTCAGTGAAATATCCAACTTTAAAAATAAAATGAATTTACTTATTACACATAGGATAAATAGAAGAGAAATGAAAGGGGAAACAGGTAAGGAAAATACATAAAAGGAAAAACAGATAAAACCTTCATGGTTTCTAAATATCCATGAGGGAAAAATCTAGTACATAACCACAAAACACAAAAAAATCTTCTCAGCTTTTAAACTTAAAGATGGGTAGATTTTCACTGATGTATATTATATTCTGTTCAATGAAATAAAAGAGAGACCTTTTCAAAACCCCTTGAAATATTCACAAAACTGACCATTTATCATACCACAAAGAAAAACTCAATACACTCCCCAAAGTAGAAATATTGTTATTGAAAATTGTGTAGACAATATTCTCTGAATAAATGAAACTAAAAATTAAGAGATTAAAATTCTATCACCTGGAAAAATTTGAACTCCTTTTGCTCTTGTGCACAATAAGAAATGAATTCTAAAGTTGTAGACCATCCAGAACATAATAATGATGAAAACAACAACTATCACAACCTATGGCATTCAGCAGAAATATTTCCCTAAATAAAATTCATATATGTAAATTCTTCCATTAAGTAAAAAAAATTATAAATTATACATCCAGTTCAAAAATCTGGAAAACAGGAAGAGCTTATTAATAAAGATTAAAGTGGAAAGCATCATAATAAATAAAGCAGGAAAAGGATAGAACTAATACAAGAGCTGGTTCTTTGGATGACTAAATTTAAAAAGTAGGTTAACTCTTTGAAAAATAAATTATATAACCTAAACAATGAAAAGAAAGGTATAGATACCCAAAATAAGAAACATAAAAAAAATTAAGCCCTCCCTAAAACAAGATAATAAAGTCAAAAGTGATTACTTTACTCAGGCAAATATATTTGCAAATGTAGGTGAAACAGATGATTTTCCAGGAAACTGTCAGAGAGCAATCCCTACCCTCCAAAAATGACCTGGGCCCAGATGACTTCACAGAGTAATTTTAACAAACTGTAGAGAACAATATATCCAGAACTTAGAAAAAGGAAAAAAGTGACCAAAAAAATTTTTTGAAGTAAGCATAATATTAGCAGCAGAGAATCTAAGATGACCATTTTTAAATGAACAATAAAATTAGAGAACTTAACCCTGCCTGATTTCAAGATTTAGTATAAAGCTACAGTGATCAAGACATTGTGGTATCGGGACTTCTTTGGTGGTTCAGTGGCTAAGACTCTGAGATCCCAGGGCAGGGGGCTGAGGTTCAGTCCCTGGTCAGCGAACTAGATCCCAGATGCCACAACTAAGAGTTCACCTGCTGCAAATAAGAAATCCTGCGAGCTGCAACCAAGCCCCCAAGTAGTCCAGTAAATAAATATTTTTTAAAAGATGGTGTAGCATCAGCATAAAGATAAACATACAGCTCTCAATGGAACATAAGAGAGCACAGAAGTAGTTTCACATATATATATGGCTATGGGTTTCCAACAACGTTCTCAGGGTAATTCAACAGGAAAAGGATAATCTTTTTCAAGGAATGGTGCTGTCACCGGCAAAGCCCACTGGGGTGGGGTTTGGGGAGGGACAGGGGAATAAAATGGAATCTAGGCGATGAGATCTAACCTCTTCTTTTCTGCTTAATTTAGTTTTACTTGCCTGTAAGTGCTGTATGCAGAAGCCTTGTACCTTAACACATCAGATGAGCTGTCCCAGCACACAACTGCGGTGCCCAGCACTTCAGACCCGACAGAGTTCCTTGCAAAATGGCCGAACTGACACCTCAGCTCCAGGAGCGTGGGCAGAAGTGCTGCACGTGACACCTCAGTTCAAGATGGCGCCGGCGGTGGGCCGCGTGCAGAGACACTGTGCCTGGCACTGGGATCTGGAGAGTGCGAAGCAGCTGAGAACTTGGCACCTGCCCCCTCCCGCACTGTCAAGATCCCTAAAAAGCAACCAGCCAGGTGTTCTGTCTTTCCAGGAGAGTCTGGACTGCAGAGCTTGAGCTCTCACCTCTTCATTCTTTAATCAAAGAATGCTTTCCTTTGCTTCTGAACCCAACTCAGTCTCCATAGCTCACCAGAAAGGAGCTTTTCTGGAGCCCAACTGGAAACTGTCAAACAGTACTGGCACAAGTGGCTGGGTATCTGTGGGGAGGGGGATCTCCTTCACTCTGATTTCTCACATTATTCACAAAAATCAACTTAATATGTATCATGAGCCTATATAAGACCTGTAACTATGAAACTTACTGATTCTACAAGAAAATGGAGTTGATATTCTTTGTGACTTTGGCTAGACAAAGATTTCTTAGATATGTTGTCACTAAGAGAATTTTTATACACTAGACTTCATCAAAATTTTAAACTTTAATTTTACAAAAGATACCATTAAGCATGTAAAGATAAGCCACTGACTGGGAGAAATTTTGTGCAAAGTATAAAATCCAAGAGAGGACTTATATATATAGATTATATAAAGGACTTTTATAACTTGATAAGATAGACAACTCAATTTTAAAGTGGGCAAAAACTTTAAACAGACACTTCATTGAAAAAGAAAACATGAGTAAATCAACCATACTTAATAAAAATTAAAATTTTAAAGTTTAAAAATTTCAAAAATGAAAACTTCCTGGCCAGGACTCTGGCCCGCTCCCTTTGCCAACCCTCCAGTCCTGCCTACCGGTGCCCTCCGCTTCCCCACCCCTCTCCCGGCAGCCCCAGTGTCCGCCATGGCCAAAGCCTACGACTACCTCTTCAAGTTGCTGCTGATTGGGGACTCGGGGGTGGGCAAGACTTGTCTGATCATTCGCTTTGCAGAGGACAACTTCAACAACACTTACATCTCCACCATCGGAACTGATTTCAAGATTCGCACTGTGGATATAGAGGGGAAAAAGATCAAACTGCAAGTCTGGGACACAGCTGGCCAAGAGCGATTCAAGACAATAGCTACTGCCTATTACCGTGGAGCCATGGGCATTATCCTAGTATATGATATCACAGATGAGAAATCCTTCGAGAATATTCAGAACTGGATGAAGAGCATCAAAGAGAATGCCTCGGCTGGGGTAGAGCGCCTCTTCCTGGGGAACAAGTGTGACATGGAGGCCAAGAGGAAGGTGTAGAAGGAGCAGGCTGATAAGTTGGCTCGGGAGCATGGAATCCGATTTTTTGAGACAAGTGCTAAATCCAGTATGAATGTAGATGAGGCTTTCTGTTCCCTGGCATGGGACATCTTACTCAAGTCAGGAGGCCGGAGATTGAAAAACAACAACAAACCCCCCAGCACTGACCTGAAAACTTGTGACAAGAAGAATACCAACAAGTGCTCCTTGGGTTGACGACTCCTTTCTGCCTCTCCACCCTAAGCCTGGAGACTGAATCTGAGGAAGGCAGGGCTGAGGGGCTGGGCAGGGGAGAAATAGCAAATGGGGCTTGGAGGGGTAGAGATGGGTAGATGGTAGAAGAATGGGGAGAATATGAAGAAGAAAAAAAGGAGAGAGAAGGAAAGAGGAAAAGAAAGGAAGCAGGATAGAGCAGGAAGGAGAGGCAAGAAAAAGGAAAAGAATTGGGAAAGTGGAAGAAGGTGAGAAGTAGGAAGAGAGGGAGGAGGAAAAGAAGATAGATGGTCCTAGGCCTCAGACCTTCTCTGGGTTTCCAGGGCAAATATAAATATAAATAAATAGTTGATTTATTCTGTTATGGGATCAGGCTTTAGGGTCCTGAGAGAGGCTGGCTCAGTACCACCCTCTGAAGGTTTGGTCCTATGCTGTCACTCTGCATGGTCTTTCTCAGTATTAAAGGCCACCATTTGCACCAAAAAAAAATTTTTTTTTCAAAAATAACATGAATAGTAAATTAAATAGAGGAAAACAGATTCACCCTGGCATGCTCTGGCAACCCCACAGGCAAAGATTTGAATCACAGCCTATCTTGAGTCTTGGCATAATGTCTCAGGAGAACAGGAGAGGATGGGAAGCTTGTGAGAAGCTCAAGGCAATCTTCCCTGGGAGGCCCCACTTCATCAGAAGAGTTGGCTGAATATAAAACCTCTTAGCTGAGTTTAGAATTGGCTCCTCAGTGATGGGGTTTCCCCTATTTCATGACACAGTCATTTGGCCCTTTTTGTCTCAGTCTCATTCATTCTGTTGTGTCAGGCAAGAACCATGGGAGCTAGCATCTTTAGCTTACTCTTCTACTCACTGCATAAGTAACTGTCTAAACAGAAAGTGGCTCATTGTATCCTTACAAGTTGAACCATGCAGGCCTTGGCTTTGACTTGTGTGTGTGTGTGTGTGTGTGTGTGAGTCTGATAATAAACACATGATAAAAATGCAATATCTTTAGTCATCAGGAAGTGCAAATCGAAACCGTAGTGAGATATTATACAACAATTAGAAAAGCTAAAATAAAAAAGATTGCTCATACTTAGTGTTGGAGAGGATGTGGAGCAACAGAAAAGCTTAGGCACTTCAGGAGAGGAGATATAAAATTGTAAAATTATTTTGGAAAAATATTTTGATAAGTTAAACATATACCAAGTCCATGATCCAGCTATTCCATTCTCAGCTATTTACCCAAGAGAAATGAGAGCATATATATCCACACAAAGACTTCCCATAGCTTTATTTTTAATAGCTGAAAACTGGAAATGATTGAAATGTCTAGCAAAAAGTAAATGAAAAAACAAATTGCATTACATCATATAAAAGATTGCATGTATGCATGCTAAGTTGCTTCAGTCATGTCCTATTCTGTGTGACCCTATGAAATATAGCCTGCCAGGCTCCTCTGTCTATGGGATTCTCCAGGCAAGAATACTGGAATGGGTTTCCATGCCCTCCTCCAGGGGATCTTTCCAACCCAGAGATCAAACCCACATCTCATATTTCCTGTGTTGGCAGTGGGGGTTCTTTACCACTAGCACCAGCTGGGAAGCCCTTATAAAATACTACTACTTGGCAATAAAAAGAAACAAACTATCGGTAACAGAATGAAATCAGTAAACCATGCCAAAGATAGAATGTTATATACTTTCATTTATATCAAATTCTAAAAAGTGCAAGCTAGTCTACAGTGACAGAAAGATTAGTGGTGACTTAGGGGGTGGGAAGTGAGAGAGGGAGGTTTGGATTGCAAAGGGTCATGAAGAAACTCTTAGAGTGATATGTTCATTAACTTTGTTGTAGTGATGGCTTCATGGATACATATGTCAAAACTCATCAAATAGTACACTTAAAAGGTGCAGTTTATTGTCTGTCAACTATAAATAAAGCCATACAAACATGCAACCTCATCTAACTTTTTAACTCACTCTGGCTGCTATGAGAAGGAAGTGGGTGGGGGCTGGGTGGCTGGTAGGGGTAGAAGTTGGAGGTGGTTAGAAAGCTGAAGAACCCATCTGGGTGAGACATGCTGGTGGCTGTGGCAACAGTGGAAATGGAGGGGAGTGGACAGATTCAAGACATATTTTGAGACTTAAAAAGACTTGCTAGGAAAAAAAATAAATAAATAAATAAAAATAAATAAAAAGACTTGCTAGGAGTTTAATGTCTCCTCTTAAGGAAATTCTCCCTTGGGTTTCTGGTTTCAGGTCATACAAATACGTAATACAATTTTTCATGCTCCCTGTACTCATCTTCCATAGTACCATCAAAGTTTATAATTGTGTACATACTGGTAATACTATTTATTAGGGTTTATCTCTGCCACTAGTGCAAACAACATAAGGGCAGGATTTGTACGACTCGCCACTCTCCATCCCAAGTGCTTTGTCCAGTGCTTGACATGGAGGGGTTACGTAGTGGTTTTAACACATGCCTGCATATCCTTTAATTTAATTTAATTTAATTTTTCTACCATCAAGGAGTGTCATATATCTTCCAAGGACAGGTCTTGAGAGGTAAGAGAATTTCTGCCCAGCTTTCTCTCTCTTGAGATACTCACCCCCTAACCTAGTCACCCTGCTAGGAGGAAACCTGGGTGACATACAGGGGTTCCAGCTGACAACTCCAGCTGAGGTTCTAGCTGGCAATATCAACTGCTAGACATGACACTAAGTCTTCAAGATGACTCCAGCCCCAGCCACTGTGTGACTGCAACCACACAAAAAGTCCTAAGTGAAACATACAGCTGAGCCCAGTCACCAATAGAACCATGAGTGAAAGTAAAAGTTCTAATCACTCAGTCGTGTCCCACTCTTTGCCACCCCATGGACTATAGCCCCTCAATTTCCTCTGTCCATGGGATTATTCAAGTAAGAATACTGGAGTAGGTTGCCATTTCAGTTTCTTTCACTTTCAGTCATTACGTTTTGGGGTAGTTTGTTACAGCAATAGATAATCAGAACTAGGTTAGTGGATGTTTTTTGAATGAATGAATGAATAAAAGGGAGTCTACTTCAACACCAGGTGAGTCTTAGCTGGTGAGTCTGTTGCCCTGTCCTGATAGGTCCCGAAGTTCTTGGAAGCCCTGGTTCTTCAGATCTATTAAGTGGAGACGTGGAAACTCTCACCCCAGGATAGAGAACACAGCAAGCCCATGTTAATTCTGGCCGGGATCTCAGAGAGCAGCTTGTTTGTGAGTTCTTAACCTTGAGTCTGTGAACAGCTTCAGGGGAACGAACATGCATGCATTTTGTATGTATGCACACACATTTTCCTGGAAAGAGAGTCCCCAGGCCCTAACTCATCAAATTTTTAAGTCTGTCCTCAAAAATGTTAGGACCCTCTTCTCCTGTCCAACTACCTCAATTTCTAGATTAAAAAACTGACAACAGTTCCCTCTCTGGTAGTAAGGTGGACTAAGTGTCCTGAACAAGCTTCCTTCTGAAAACAAATTCTGATTAAAATTTTTTTTAATTTCTTAAACACACAGATGAGCTGGGAGGGAAAGTAAGAAATACTGAGGCCAAAACCCCAAGAATCCAGCAAGGTAAGCTATGCATTGCAATCAGCTGTTACTTTAAGGACTTCATAAAGTCAGCAAGAGTCAGACACGACTTAGCAACTGAACAACAACAACAAAGTCAGCCAATCAGCGATAGACCTCCCAGTCTTGAAAATGAACTTGAACTTCAATTTCCGTAGCCTCATGGAGGTAAGATGATAAGGGAGAAACCCAGGGGGCTCAAGGAGGAGGACCTAGTAAAACCCTACCCCCATAATACTGGTACCCAGATGGACTGAGCCCTAAGTGAATAGGTGCTAGGTAGAAGCATTTACCACTTCCCAACACACTGCAAAGAGAAGTGCCTATCCTAACTTGCCTCTTTTCAGGTGAAAGTAAAACACCCCTTGAGAATTCATCACTGCAAGCATCCTTCATTAAGGGTTTGAAACCCCTGCACCACATTCCCCCTCCCCATACTTCCCTCCCTCTCTCTCCTTCCCTCCCTCTGGCTAGGAACCTGGGATCTTATCTTTTGAGTAAACCCCACAACAGGGTCTCTGGCCTCTTCTTCTCATGGCTGAAGTCTCTCGCAGGGACTCTATCCCCCAAGCCTGCCAGGTGTTCATAGACCCATTGAAAACTGGGGCCCTGGGAGGTTGAGGGCTCTGGCCTCCACTGGGGAAACTGGCCTCTGGATGAAGCTCCCAAGCCAGTGCTATGCGGCCCCTGGAGACAACCTGCTCTCCTGCCCTTGTCGAGGGCCGGACTGCGGGGGTGCAGGCATCCCTAGGCAAGGCTGCTCTCCACTCCGCCACCCCTACTCCAGAATGCCCGGCTTTCCTGGGATTTTCTTCCTCTGGGCTCTGGAACCTTCTGCGGATCCTCTCTCCTCAGGATGAGGAAAGCAGATGTCGCTCTGCCTACCAGGTCCCCAGACATCCTCCCCCACCCCAGGGCCTCCAGCTCTCTTCTCCTTCATTCTCCAGTGACCTCGGCCCTTCTCTGCAGTGACAGGTGGCAGAGTAGGGTGCCCTACCCCCACCCCAAACCCCACCCTCTGGGCTCAGGGCCTGAGTCGGGTAGCGGAGGCTGGGTCCCCGTGGGGAGGCCCAGCCGCCTGACGGAGGGGTCACCAGGGCAGGTTTGCGGGTCCCCACCTGTGTTGGGGCTGGACTAGTGCTTGGAGGTATCCAGCTGCGGGCAGGGCCGGCAGGGAAAGCCCAGGGCTCACCTGCAAGACCCTTGTCGGCCTTTTCCAAGTGCTTTCCCTCCATGGTGGAGCTCAGGCATCCCCAGGGTCGTATTTTCCAGAACACGGGGGAGTGGCGCCCTCACTCATCAAAGCAGCAGCCCGGCCAGCATCCCCAGAGGAAGAGCTGTCCCCTCAGAGCGGTGGGTCTGGCTGCTGTGAGAAACATCTGCATTTACAAACAATTATGGTTCCTGCGGC